ATGTACTTAACAAAGGCCGAATAATGCAAAGATACATTTATATTACTATATAACCTACAAATACAGAGGTACAAAGTTACTGTATGACCTACACGTACAGGGGTACAATGTTACTGTATGACCTACACGTACAGAGGTACAATGTTACTGTATGACCTACACGTACAGAGGTACAGTGATGTTACCGTATGACCTACACGTACAGAGGTACAGTGATGTTACCGTATGACCTACACGTACAGGTGTACATTGGTGTTACTGTATCACCTACACGTACAGAGGTACATTGGTGTTACTATATCACCTACATGTACAGAGGTACATTGGTGTTACTGTATGACCTACACGTACAGAGGTACATTGGTGTTACTTAATGGCTTACACTTACAGAGGTACAGTGATGTTACTGTATGACCTACACGTACAGGGGTACAGTGATGTTACTGTATGACCTACACGTACAGTGGTACTGTGGTGTTACCGTATGACCTACATGTGCAGATGTACAGTGATCTTACTGTATGACCTAAACGTACAGGGGTACAGTGATGTTACCGTATGACCTACACGTACAGATGTATAGTGATGTTATCGTATGACCTACACGTACAGTGGTACAGTTGTGTTACCCGTTAACCTACACGTACAGGGGTACAGTGATGTTACCGTATGACCTACACGAAGAGGGGTACAGTGGTGTTACTATATGACCTACACGTACAGGGGTACAGTGATGTTACTATATGACCTACACGAACAGGGGTACAGTGATGATACCGTATGACCTACACGAACAGGGGTACAGTGATGTTACTATATGACCTACACGTACAGATGTACAGTGATGTTACCGTATTACCTACACGTACAGGGGTACAGTGATGTTACTATATGACCTACACGAACAGGGGTACAGTGATGATACCGTATGACCTACACGAACAGGGGTACAGTGGTGTTACTATATGACCTACACGTACAGGGGTACAGTGATGTTACTATATGACCTACACGAACAGGGGTACAGTGATGATACCGTATTACCTACACGTACAGAGGTACAGTGATGTTACTATGCTGATTAAGCAAACGAAACAGTCGAGCTGGAGTTCATGGATAACAGCTCATCTATGGACGATGACCATATTGCATTATTGCTGGGTGGAAAGAATTTAGAAATTCTTTAGAAAGAATTATCTCCCTTGATCAGCAGACCAACTTCTTAATGCCTTTGAAATAAGTTAAGCAACTCAAAAAATAATATAATGACACCATTTACGAGTGAATGTACTGTTAAACCTCGGGGACAACGTTAAAGAGCCTCCCACACATATCCACACACACGTACAACGATTATATTAGACCATAAAGAGAACTGATACATTTTAATGTCTCTGGATTTAAACACGTTATTGTTGAGGTCAAACGTTTACTAAAACAGCTGCAACATAACGTCTCGATGAGGCATTAATGTGAACCATTTGTAGAAGAAACCTTATTAAAGGAGTACCAAGATCTGGACACAGACTTCCCTAGCACGTTTGCTTATACAGGCAACATACTGTGAAGCATACTTCCCTTTAGACTAACAACTAGTCTCTGAAATGAACATATTTTACTGAAAAAAAAGTTCATAGTGAAAAAAATACATATATAATGAAAAGGAGCCCTGAGACTTTCTTCCTGAAGCTGAGGAAATCTAGACTTGCCACATTTTCTAGACCTGCGTGGGCTTTCTTGGATATATTTGCTTCAGGGTCTATACGACAGACTAACTTCCCTTAAATCTCTTGGCCTAAATTAATCCATATAATTAAAACTGTATGGGTAATGTATCTGTCCTAAGTACAACCTCTATCATGACATCCCGAGCTGGTAACGCTAGACATTTAATAACAAATCCTATATTAATGGAACGAACTTTAAATTCAGCAAACGCACCCATTACTTGCCAGACCACACACCGTAGTGTGACCCAATCTCTCTCACCTACCCCCACCCCCACCCACCACCCCTACCCCCTTTCACTGCAAGAAGAATACATCAAACTGCAGTGCGTCGTACCAAACATATATCATCATAATAACCCGTTGTGATATTGCTGGAATACTGCTCAAAGCGGCGTAAGTCTATACTCAGTTACTCACTCACTCACTGATAACGGTGGGCACATTAACCGAATTGACACAATATACAGGTATTTATACATCTGCAGGTATATACTATCAATTTACCTGTTATCATCTAGTCCAGATACGCAGCGCGGGCACGGATGGGCCGATATCTCCTTATATCCCGTTAGAATAGAATGCTCACAGCAATATCATTACCCGCTCTTTCTAAATGCATCCGTCTCCCGATGACGCAATGCAGTAGCATATGGAAAGAGGCAGCACTGTATGACCAGTGCATGTCTTGCCAGGCTTATCGAATGGTACAATGTTACACGCATCATTCGGTATCTCAGTATGAAGAACACGTGTTTCGTAATAGATTCCAAAAATATCCGTAAGGTGAGATGAAGAGATACCGTATACCTGATAGAAAGGGATAGCACAAACAGCGTATTGAAACAACATACAAACTAACCTATTTATACCAGCACCTGAGAGAACAAACAAGCTGAATTACACTAACGATGAAGACACAAAATTGCATCGCTGTCTCTGGAGTGCATCGTTCTAGTCGCGCTTTAATAAACGTCAAACTTTGAAACATCACATTAAATCTGAAGTGTCATCTCTATAAAATATAGCAGCATGGAGCAAGTGTGACACTGCCCTTCAACTGGTTAACTCGAACTCGTTTAACTCGACATATCGCTTGTAGATAGCAAACATCGGCGCACCAACAGCGAAATATGGTTAATTCGAACTCCCTTATCTCGATATATCGTACCTCGGTCACAAACCTGGGTACACCAACAGCAAAAATATGGTTAACTTGAACTTCCTTATCTCGAGATATCGTGTATCGGTCACAAACATCGGTACACTAACAGCAATACCTGGTTAACTCGAACTCCCTTATCTCGATACATCGTATCTTGGTCACAAACATTGGAAAACCAACAGTAAAACCTGGTTAACTCGAACTCCCTTATCTCGATATATTGTTTATCGATCACAAACATCGGTACACGAAATCTCTGGTTAACTCCTTAAATCCTTATCTGGATGTACCATTGGTCTAATATCGATACAGTAAAACCTACTGAACACGAGGTCTGCCATCTTGATATATCTTTTTATATACCTTGCCAGCATTGTGGTCTAATATCGATGCACACACGGTGTATAATACAATTGACATCTCAAGATATCATTTGATACCATGATTATCTATTATATCGGCACTAATATCGGTACTCCGCATGTCTCGAACTTCTGACAACTCCACATAATCAGGTGGTTGTCATATTATTTGATGGAATACACTGTCTATATGTCTAATGTATCCATCAGGTGACAATTATCTCAAAGATGTTATCACAAAACAATACATTCCTCGAAAACGTTAACACCTGTGTTCGACGGAATTTAATTTTCTCGTTAAAAACAACGTACACAATAAGGTAAAATTAAGTCAATAGTTTTGACAAACAGATATAATTAAATGACTGTTTAAAGATTACAAAAAGTGCGAATAATTATTGATTCATATGGAAAATCTTCGAAAGATTCCGGGCAAACCCATCCGGTTAGTATGTCATGGGTTGACCTTTACATTCGACCTGACCTGGCCCAGTTTTGTAAATGTCACAACATACGGTTTCCACATGTGGCCTGCAGGTATATACTTTATCTATGCAAAATCTCAAATATGTGAAAACTGTTTGCTTATATATCCTTTTCAAAATAAGCCAAGTCTTACATACACATATAAGCAAATGGAATTTTATAAATACCGAAAAAACCCACAAAGTAGTGAGATTTATCCAAAAATAATACTGTTTTCATATAAAAAGTGGTGCATGCATAATGGTTTCATTTCAATCTAAATTAAGGACACATTTTCAAAGTATATTTTTATTTAATTTTTTAAATTGTTTACTTAAATGACAGCATTTACAGTGACCTTTTCAGTTGGGAAGAAAAAAATCAAACTAAATTAAAGACACATTTTTACTGTTTACTTTTCATTTTTAAAATTTCGTTACTTAAATAACAGCATTTACAGTGACATTTTCAGTTGGGAAGAAATAAATCGTGATCAATTCTCTGACCGGAGAGTGCCCGTAAGGTCTTAGTGGCAGACAGGTACGCGTTGGCATTTATGAGTGAAATCATATCCCCCTCTCCCTATCACACTAATCAGAAAGGTAAGAGCCCCATACCCATCATCTACCAGTACCCCATAAGGTTACGATTACGCTACTAGGTAAGGCGAGAAAAAGCTGCAATGTCATTAGACCTTCCACAGATGCCGATCAACCTACCTGTCAATACCTGCAAGGTCACTCAATGCATGAGCAGGTCATCTGCTACAAAGAGGCAGCTTGGTCCTACCTCCCGATTTGCTAAAACTACAGACGTCGGCAAGTAATTGCTCCACAGCGCTCAGAATATTCTACAACTCCTGCCTCTAGGCCGTCAGAAGTACTCTATAAAGCACCGATTGAACAGGTGTTGGGTTACAACCACAGATTCAGGAAGCCCTACCGGTATAAAAATATCTTTTGATTATTTAATAAACATATATGATATGTAAATATAAACTGACCATCCACCTGTCCGGTTAAATGATGAAGGTCAAAGCATGACGGATGACCTTCCATTACAGGTGAAAACTTACCTACAACCGGAACCCGGGAAAATTGGAAATGAGGCTGCGAGTTTTCTACTAATCCAGGAACAACACACGTATGTTGACGGTTTTTCCGTCGCTCATTAAGCTCTGCACACCGAGTCGTCTGCTACTATAAAAGGTAAGGGGGTTTGTATTCTGAACATATTCACCTCACTTGTGCACACGGGTAGCAGACGAATGGATGCACTTACCCTTTGAACGATAAGGGCTTGATTCAGGTCCTTCCCACCCTGAAGCCGAAAGCCCCACGGAGTGTTGAAGGAATCTCTGAAGAGTCGAACCTGGAATTTGTTAAAGCCTGTCATTTTGTCTTTCCACTACGCCATCATTGAGGTGAATCGGACGGCTGCAGGCGACACTCGCGCCACAACGGTGATTGGTACCTTGCGATAGTCTCGGGCCGAAATCAGCCGAAATACCTTCGCCACTTTTCAGAGCGAGGCACAGACACTCGGAGAAATGGAATCTCGCGAATGCCAATATCCTCGGATGAAGAAAGCTAGGAGCTCGCGAAGATGCTCCTGGTCCAAATATACTTCACTTGTGACGTGGTGGGAGAAGGTATCGGGTGTCCCCCAACTACCGTGCTGCGCTCGGCATTGCCCAATTTAGAAAGTGTGCCCACGTGGTAGCGAAAGCAAGATGAGCAGTGGAACACAGAGCCTGCATCACTAGCTGCTGCATGTGCAGTTTGGCGATAGTTAGATAGGATCTGTTTATGTCATTTATTTTACACTCTTTTGAAATTTGCCTCAACAAAGTCCAAGATTGACGATGCAGAGTCTGAAACTTGATCCTTGTAAGATCTCGTAATATCTGGCCCAGTCAGATAAACAGTGTCGAACAGGTTACAAGCGGAGCGGAGATAGGTAATTCTACACCAATAATCCCGGTGTACACCACCACCCCTCCCCTAACCCCCTCCATTACAACCACCCACACATGTGTCTTCTAGAAGGAAGTGCAGCTCATGCAAGGGGTTAAGAAAGATCACGGCTCGGCGTATCTTTAAAGTTGCATAGCAAGGGATTCTCAGTTAATAAGTCATATATTCAATTATGGTACAGTGACTGTATTCGTGGCATGTCTACGTTTTTGGCGTTGTTGCCCATGGACCATTGCTGCTGTCAGCTGTCTGATTCCAGCAGACATTTCAAAACAGTTTTGTCAGATTCAGTATTGTTACAATGTATACGGGTGGACACAAGATTTCTTGCACGTTCTCATCTTGAGGGTTCGTTTGTATCTTCAGTTTCAGAACTTCAAGACCAGGTGGAAACAATAGAATTTTTGCACGTAGACCCAGTTAATCTTGGAAAATGTCAGGTGTTCCTCGTGGAGTTTCTTTAAGGTCAAAAGAGAGTGACTGAATCTTGTTTAATGCCGCATTCAGTAATATCAGAGTTCTATCACGACGATCTGTTAGTACTTGTGTCTAGACCTTGTAGAACCGTCACTGATAGCATGAGAATCGTCAAAACCCATTTGGGCACGATGACATTTATCTGAAAGTAATCAAGAAGACTTCGCTCCATTCAACTTGCTATTCTATTATCTCAAACGTAGATTTTAGTGAGGTCTGTAGTAGTAGCAGTAGTAGTAATAGTAGTAGTAGTAGTAGTAGTAGTAGTAGTAGTAGTAGTAGTAGTAGTAGTAGTGGTGGTAGTATCATTCAGCAAAACTGTTTTAAACATACATCGAGTTATCGGTAGTTCGAGACTAGGGTAGAGAGAAGTAAAACTCACCTTGAAGCAACAAGAATTTTACAAGCCTTTCATAATTCCTTATTTTATTTCACTATTGAATGAAAATGTTTGAATGAAAAATATTATATTTGAATGAGGTTCGAGTATTTAATGCCAGAAGTCTCTGTAACTAATGGTGAAAATATGCTGCGGTGTCATTTCGTGAGAAGGGGAAAAGATTTTACATGCCTTTCATAATTCCTTATTTTATTCCACTATTGAATAAAAATGGAATAGAAAATATATAGTTCTGAATGAATGAAGTTAATGATGTATAAGTGCGAAAAGTCTGTAACTAATCCCGAAAATATGCTACGGTGTCATTTCGTGAGAAGGGGGGAAAAATTATCCATTAATTTCTTCACAGTGGAACCGACACTTTGTAAAATGCATGGATTCCATTCCAGCTGACGTAAACCTAAACCTTTTTCCGATTCCTCAAGGTAAAAATAGTGTCGATCATCTTTAACATATGGGCCCATCATTGTGTAATGTGTTAATGGAAGGCGGATTTTCCTCTGAGTGGTATGGTCTTAAGCATGGGATAACTAATGTGTCTTGGCACTTGTTTACCATTAATGACATTAGTTATGTTTGCCTGCATAATCACGGATGCGTTAATATGTACAATATACTTTATGAATAGCATAGTTAAAAACATATACCATGCAAGAACATGTGTTAAAGACAACAAGAAGGTTTAATATGTGATGAATGAGTCATCCATTTCTTGAGAGTAATTCCTCTAGGCTGTTTCCTATGTCTTTTGTATGTGGTTGATATTTCCACCAAAGTCTGGCGTCTAAGACAAAAACGTGTTCCTTGCTTCCAGAATCTTCTCAGCAGAGAACCACAGCATTTCCTGCGTGAACGTTTAGAACTCATCGTTTCCCGTTCACACACTCACTCATTTATTTTTTCATGGCTTTCAAAGCGGTGTTGAATTCGTTCACGATTCCTCATAAAAATTATGTATTCTAAGAATAACGTGTGTATGTATTTGGATGTTGTAAATGACGTAGTTTTGAGACGTTTCTGAACTGTAAAGTCATATTCTAAATATATTACGTATGGGGAATACTCACATGTTCCGTGAACCACTCATTCTGCGAATACCAACTCCGGTCGAAATACCGTAATTGACAATTTTGCGTCTATCGGTAACTACTTGTAATAAACACCCTAGTGTGTATGTGTATAAATACACTTAAGTAGGATATATCGTACATAAACACGGTAAACTGCCAGGTATGTTAACAGATATATGAGAGTCGATTCTATGAATAAACCGATTTAGGCTCTCCACTTGACCTTGGGGAATAATGAGCGTACCATAGGCGTCAAGAGGTCACATGCAACGTGTCCATATGTATCGAGAAATGAAATATGTAAATGTACATGAAAATTGCGCTAATTATTAATATATATTTTCGCGAATATCAGTTGTGCGTATGCATTCGTATTATGTTTTATATACCTTGCATGCTATCACTCCTTCTGAATCGATGTATCGATGTTCAGCTCTGTTAAGAAAGACGAAACGGTTAAGAGAAGACATCCCACCAATTTGAATGTTATTGATATTCTGACTCACACACTTATCTGTCAAACTGAATCAAAGTCCAGCCCCATTTCTGAATCAAAGTCCAGCCCCACCCCTATTTCTGTCTGTCATACGTACTCACAGTCTTATTTCTTTTATCCCTGCTATACTGAATCAAAGTCCACCCCTATTTCTGTCATACACTTTTTTATCTGCTATACTGTAGTTCCCCTACTTTGATCCCTGCTATACTGAATCAAAGTCCACCCCTATTTCTGTCATACTTACTCTTAGTTCACTTTTATCCCTGCTATACTGAATCAAAGTCCACCCCTATTTCTGTCATACTTACTCGTAGTTCACTTTTATCCCGGCTATACTGAATCAAAGTCCACCCCTATTTCTGTCATACTTACTCGTAGTTCACTTTTATCCCTGCTATACTGAATCAAAGTCCTCCCCCATATTTCTGTCATACTTACTCGTAGTCCACTTTAATCCTGTCATACTGAATCAAAGTCCTCCCCCCTATTTCTGTCATACTTACTCGTAGTCTTTTTTATCCCAGTCGTAGATAATCAAAGCCCAACGTTTTTTTCTGTCCCACAAAATCAAAATCAATTCGTATCAGTGCAATACTTAATCCAGACAAAGCCTACTTGTATCTCTGTCATATTGAATAAAAGAGGTGACTAACGGGATCGGGAGGTCAGGCTGGCTGACTTGGTTGACACATGTCATCGGTTCCAAATTGCCCAGATCGATGCTCATGCTCTTGATCACTGGATTGTCTGGTCCAGACTCGATTATTTACAGACTGACGCCAAAGAGCTGGAATATTGCTGAGTGCGGCGTAAAACTAAACTCACTCACTCACTGAATAAAAGAGCACACTTATCTGTCATACTGAATTAAATTTCAAAAGTTATCTTTGCCGTACTGAATCTGTCCACTCCTATACTTTTATCTCTCTCATAATGAATCAGAGGAAGCTCTTATGTCCATCTTATCAGTCAGATTGAATCAAATTCAACTTTTTTATCTGTCACATTGAATCAAAGTCAAGTATTCTGAAATAAAGTTCACTTGAGTCTCTGTCATACTCAATAAAACCAAAGTCCACTCCTATCTATATCATAATGGATAAAACTAGGTCAGATAAAACGCTATAAAACACACTAATGAACAGCGGTTTGTGTCAGCGAGACAGGAAGCATGTTATGCCCTTCAACGCCTATCTTCAGCGTCACAGCATATATTGTACGGTCGTCAATGACGCCAGTCTTGCCTCTTTCGAGTAAAAAACATGTCGGTTCAAAGGTTATGTCTAATTACAATAACACAATCAACACACAAAGCACAATGAATCTAGGTATCCAAGTTTACCGGGTGTAAATAAAAGTTGGTTTATTTGAGCATCATCATCAATATGCGGGTGAGGGCAAAGATAATTGCCCATGTACTACAAATTGGAGTTATGTCTTATAGATCAAAGTACTAATTTACATGTTTACTATATTTATACCTGTGTTGCTTTCACAGAGCTACACGAATGAGATTAATTAATGAACTAGAGTCAATACGTTGAGCTGTAATTCAGGTTTGTTGTGTAACACATGTTGAGGAGTCTGGTAGAACGATCAAAGCATCCCATTAAGTACACTCATGTATTGGAGTCAGTGTGAAGGAGGTTTTACCAAATTGCTATACAATGATAGGCTACACGCTGCATACAGTCTGGCACTCTCTTTAGCCTTATATATTTATGACAACATTTAATTATTGATATTTGTAAATGTCCTCACCTCTTTCACCTGACAAATTAAATATGCTAGGATTGACTTCAATCTGAAAACAACCCCAAGCCCTCTTTAACTTGCCATAGAAATAGATTTGACTTGGCATATAGACTAGCACGTTCGAATGAGATATGTGTAAACATAATATGTTACTGATATTAGTCTGTAAATATCCCAACATCTTTCACCTGCCATATTACATAAGCTAGGATTGACTTCGCTCTGTAATTAAAACGAGTGCCTCTTTCACCTGCCATATGACATAGCATTGACTTACATATGCCAGGATTGACTTCAATCTGTAAATAAACGCGAAATTTCTTTCACTTGACATATTACATATGCCAGAA